CTCTAACAAACATCCATCCATCTAAACTTTCGCATTTATAATATTAGTATGATTACATTACTATAGCGAAAATTATTTCTAGTACCCTTTACTAATTGTATAAATGAACTATGATTGTTTAAATCTTGATTGTTATAGTTATTGAAATTTAACATTATATAGATTTTAAATGATTTAACTTAACTGTAGTAAAAAGCATTAGTACCACATATTTACTAGATATAAATACTTGTTAGTTATCTAAATCAGAAATAACGATATTTGCAACAATGTATTGATAAGAGAGAAAACATAATTTCTCATTAAGTGTGCAACACCACTTCAGTAATGCTGAAATAATGCCACGCTTAGACCAATGCGAAATTGTTGAAATTTCTATTACAAAACATACATGCAAGTAAATTGTGTTTAACATCCAGTTTTATTTGATTTAATTAAGGATAAAACTTTTTGTTTCAAATTAATTATAACTAAAAATAATGTAGTTTTGTTTGTTAATTTTGGGAAGTTACTTTTGAACTTTCTAAACAAATAGTTAAATATAATATAAACTATGAATAATTATATTTTATATTTACTTGTATATTACTAAATTCGAACACAATGACTTAAACATAATCTGACTAATATAATCTAACTAATATTATAAATGCGAAAGTTTAGATGGATGGATGTTTGTTAGAGTTTGTAGACTAAACGGCTGAACAGATTTGGATGAAATTTGGCATAGATGTAGAGCAGAGTATGGAAGAATACATATGATACTTACATTTGTTTTTTTTTATACCACGCGGACGGAGTCGCGTGCGACAGCTAGTTTTCTATAAATAATCAGGACATTTAAAAATGCCAAAAGCTTTGCTGCAAACGAAAACGACCTAAAAAATTCAAAAACCGTTTAGAAGTCACGAAACCGTAAAAAACGGATTAAAACACCGTAGTTAAATTATCGTCAGTTTTTCGCACACAAATCGAAAATAATATCAGTAAAGTTTGCAGTTCAGTGAATTTTGAGTCGTTAGAATAAAAACTTTTCGTATAATTTAAAACTTGTAACTGTGTAACGACACTGTCGAGTTTAAGGAGAACTTTCAATTTCTAACGTTTTTTCTTTTAATAAATAAAAACTATAAGTATAACTACATTTCTATTTCCAAACAGTCATTTTTATTACAGTGTAAAAAAAAGTTTTTTTTTACCAGAAATAGTATTTTAAGTCTTCAATTATCTCAATTTATATTATTTTAAACAAAGAAATTTAGGATATATATAAACTAGACATAGTGAACAACAATTTTCACAGATAAATTCTTTGAAAGGTTCTATATTAGTTGGTCAGTTTAGTGCGCCACTTCATGTCCTTGTGTGTATGATGTCTAGTCGCGTAGTAGTCGCGGGCGATAGCTAGTTAATTAACATGTCTTTTTGAGGATCTATTAATAACGTTAGTTAGTGAAGTGTCAACTTTTGCTGCCTTTAAATATTTTTGGAATCTCTTTGATAATAATAAATTAAATTCTTTACAGAGAACAGGTACTATGAGAGAATTTTAAAGTAAGCTCTTTGCAGATGGGATTAGATTACTAGAGATAAAATTCAGGAAATATGCAAGAAGCTCTAGCAAGACGGTTAATAACGGGAACCTGAACGCGCCACTGATCAGGATGAATACCGGGACGCTTTGTCGCTCTAACGTTCAAGCGAATAACGAAATATTCTATTCAACGAGCAAAGGAGTTAAATCCCACACCTTTGTTGAAATTTTAATAAAGCATAAAAAAATCATGAAGCTTACCTTGCATCCGGAAATGACTTCTTATTGACAACGTCAGTAGACAGAGGTTTTCCTCTGTGACAGGAATTATTTGGCGTGGTAGACTTTTGTCAAAAGTAAAACGAGTTTGGTAGGTCACCTGCATAAATGGACAGGCTATAAGACGTGGTATTTTGTACCTATTCGAGGTATATTGTTGCGGTTGTTTGTCGTTAACAACAAGCGCGTTTCTGAACCAAGTAAAGGCTGACTTTCTTCTGACCCATCCAGCGTCAGGTTTTTACTTATAGAAAATTCTTTTTACATGACTCGTGGTCACTAATAGTAATAAAATTTTTCGAAAGTAATGAAACCACTACATCTAGGTTCAAAACTTGGTAACTAAATTCAATTACTTTGTGAAGAAGTAAAAAGAAGTTCCAAGTGAAGTGCTCGTTCCGATTCATTGATATTCAATCGTATTCTTAAGACAAAAGAATTGAGACGTTAATTATATTCTTAGCCTAATCTTATTAAAGTCTAGACCAAGTTTTGCGGCTAACAAAAAGAGCCGAAACCGACAAAAACCCGATGTTACATGTACGAGAAATTTCCATGAGAAAGAAATAATTTTTTATTAGTATAGTAGGTATTTTATATATTTATTTATCTATACTTTAATATTAGGAACAGTAAAGATTTGTATTTCTTGGATTTTTGTAACTCAAATACGATATACTCAAAAACTACTCTGCCGATTTTAAGAAATCTTTCACCATTAAAAAGCTACATTATATCTGAGTAACATAGGCTATATTTTTACACTATTTCTTTAATTTCACGTAGACGACGTCGAAAGCAAAAGCCAATATGATTATAAACTTGAAACATTCTTCAATTTAAGTCTAGACGAGACATTTTAAATTTCTTTGTCGATCTGCAGATTGTATCACATGGTTCCTTCACTATAAGAACCTTGGGTAAATATATGAAATTCGAAAATGACATTGGTATACGATTAGATTTGAACCCAGAACATGTAGATTACAAGTCAAGAGCTTTGACTCTTAGCCAACTTTATTCTGATTAACTATTACCATATAAAGACAGTGAAAGAAAAGGCTAAGTCCAGCTGTGGGCAGATAATTCTGATGATATTGATGATTCAAATACATCGTAAACAATTATAATTAAGAGTTATGTTGTAACTTTTAGGTTATAATGTCACGAAATTAGATTTAATTTATTTATTAAGAGCGAAAGACTGGACAAAATTTAGTTCGGCCCACTCTTTGTTGCCTTCCCACGCTATGAGTTATAGCATAATTTGTTCCGCAACGCTTCTTATGTTAAAGGCCCCTGTAATTTGTTGGTTGATGTTCGGGCATTTGCGAAGTAATAAAAACATAAGTTACGTGGCCCCAATGATACCGCCAAATCCTAACGACCTTAACATTAGTCCAGTCCACATGACAATGAAAGTTTATTGTTAAATTATACACATATTTTTAAACATGTTTACCAAGAGGTGTAGGCAGATAATACAATTTTTTCTTTTCGTCTAACTGGTTACTTAAGCAGTTTGCATATAGTTATACAATTCGATAACTTAATAGTTACATTTTTAAAACAAATAATGTAAAGCATTGTATTTATAAATTCATATGGATATTTACCATCTGTCTTATTTTCCCAAGCATTTCTATATTTTTTTTGATAATTTAAAAGATAAAAAAGCGGTAGAAAAAACAAGCGAGAAATTTCGTATATTCTACACGTGTCTTGGGAAATAAGGCGTTTGGCTATTTTAGAAAATTACCATCAAGGTTTTTGCTATACAGCTTAAAAAGAAAATGTTCAATAATGGTAAAGCGTTACCAATTTTTATATTACACATTATTATTTAAAACGAAAGATATATAGTTAATTACTTTACAAAGTAATTGAAGGTAAATATTAAGTTCAAAATTCCATTATACATTTACGATAGGATGAAGAAGGAAGTGGTGACTAAGATGATGGATGGTAGAGTTATCTACATCATACCTGCAATAAAGCAGTAAGAGGAATATATTTCATATGTATATAATATACAAAATGCTAGCAGTATATAAGACATCAATACGAATGAGATGTTTCTATGCAGACTGGATAGGACATACAGTAGTTCAAGTAAACCGTGGAACATTTCACTTGGAAATATCTACATTCATTTCCAGTGAGATGGCAAAATATAAATTCCTCTGGCTTTTCTCTCGCCGGCACTAGCAGAGTTTTGAATAAAATTGCATTCAGTACTTGTAAGAAAATAAAATATATCCATCGTTCATTTTATTTTATTGTATACAACTGAGACTGTCTCGACGTGTAGAGGTTATGGCAGTGTTACGAAGAACTAACGTAACTATGAATTATTTAAAGTATTAACCCTTAAAAGACTGATTTTTTAAATTGAATTACAAAATGTATAAGTGTACTTTTTACTGTCTTTTTTACTAAAGGGGAAAGATTTAAATCAAAACGACATTTTTATATATTTTCGTGATGTGCTTCTTATTGTTTTCTTTTGAAGATTATCAGTCGAAGGAAATATATAAACAGCCTAATGTTAAAGTAAAATCGACTGTAGGTGCCCAATGCGATTTACAACTCCGGTAACAAATTCGGTATGAACGGGACGGTATGAAACTTTAGATATTTAAGAGTTAAAATTTATTGTATTGGAGAGGGTCTATCACATTGACTGATTTGCGAGAACGTATTTGAATGAGATTTGTTGGTATACATTTTATGGTTGTTACGAAATCATTTTCACAAAATCTGAACAAATATACTAAACTACAATTAGTCACATTAGTCGTCTATATTAAAGGAATTATTGAAATCTGCTAAGTAGTTTTTGAGTTATTTCAATATAAAAAAACAAATACAAAGATTACCTCTTAATATCACCTGTGTAGATATAGATTCAATAGAGAATCAATGTTAAAATTGAAGTCGGAGTAAAAGATAAAACCAAATGGGCTAATCGGATAAACGTTAGAGAGTTTACAAAATTCACATACACAATATACCCACATGAGAGCTGTCGCGAACACATTCTATTGTTGTTCATTTCCACTGCAGTGACAATTGTATTAATATCTATTGTCTCTATTTTGTCAAAGAAAATGTAAGGGATGCCTATAACAAATACACTAACGCCACGGTAATGAAATTGTCAGGTTAAATTGTGAATTAATCCAAATTTTTGTATTAAAATTTAATTTTATTAATTCATGGTACGTTATATATTTGCAACGTTAATTTACATAAATGATTTATGAACTCCTCAGGTTGCCCAATAAGTACTCTCGCTTTAAATTTTCCTCTCGAAATTCTGATGGAATTACGTTCCCATAGGGCGTTGATGTTTAAATAATAAATTCTTCAAGCGCTTCCACTTTTGTTGGTAACGAGAAATTAAAGAGATCTTTCTAAAGTATTAGAAACGACATTCGCATAAGTTTACTGACAATGTGTAATATTTAACTGTGGTACTACACCAAGATGTTACGATGACACTACAAATTTAGAGATTGTGCAAAGGATTTGATAAAAGATCATAAAAATCAAGTACCATTTTTAAGTCTCTCCTTTAAAGAAAGTCATGAGAAAAACAAAATCAAATTAAACCTGATAAGTAGCTAACTTTCTAATTAGCGATATAAATGAGTATCTCTGATACCACTCGCCAGTTCGGGTTCCCAGCGATCGCCGTTTCCCAACAACTTCTCTTTATTATAAATTAATTCCTCATGTGTTTCCGTGGAATATTCAAAATTAGGTCCTTCGACTATAGCGTCAACAGGGCACGCTTCTTGACAGTAACCACAGAAGATACATTTAGTTAGATCGATATCGTAACGAACAGCTCTACGAGAACCGTCTGTTCTCTCTTCTGCGTCGATAGTTATAGCTTGGGCGGGACAAACAGCTTCACATAGTTTACAAGCAATGCACCGTTCTTCACCAGATGGATATCTCCTCAAAGCATGCTCGCCGCGAAAACGAGGTGATATCGGTCCTTTCTCGAAAGGATAGTTTATTGTTGCTGGCTCCTTGAACAAATGTCCCAATGTGACGAGGAAGCCTGGATCAAACAATGTACAGAAAAAATAGTTAGCTATGAACCTTGTAATCTTTATAATTATTAGAGCGTCGGTGGCTCAGTGGTTTGGACACTTGACTTGTAATCTACAGGTCTTTGGGTTCGAATCCCGCCATGTACCAATGTGACTTTCGATTTTTCGAATTTTCATATGTACATAATTTACCCGACGTTCTTACGGTGAAGGAAAACATCGTGATGCAGCCTGCACATATCAGCGAAAAAATTCAAAGTTATGTGTGAAGTCAACCAATCCGCACTTGGCCAGCGTGGTTGACTATGGCCTAGTCACCCCATATTAGGGCAGGCTCCGAGCCCCTCGGTGGGGACGTATAGTGAGCTGGTGATGATGATGATGATGATTAGATTTTTAGTAAATAGATCAATGAAATATTTAGAGGAAGTATAGTTGACACTTCATTTGAAACATTTTTTTACAATTTCATTATCGCTAACTGGCGTCCGATAGTCAAAATCACAAACAAATAATTCAAAGAATGAGAAGCGTCTCAGCGTGTTGAATTTGACAAAATGTTGTTCCCTATGTCGAGAGTATATATTTCTTAAATGTCTGGTTTTTAGAGTTAACCTGTTGATTACCTCTTGCAAGTTCTGTCCAAAATATAGTTTGTGAAGCACGGTCTACAATATCCCTGCCGCCGGATTTAGGCGGCACGTCGTTGATGTATACAAACGTAACGTCGTACTTTGTCCTCGGTCTGCAAAAGTTGACAGGATACGCCGGTACACACGGATTGAACGTGAAACAAGGCTCCGTTTCATCTTCCTGGGGACAGTTATCTTTGCTGTAGTGACGAATACATTTCGTCCTTTTCAAGCTATTGGATTTTATCAATTTGAAAATGAAATTCCTCGTACCAATCATTTTCACGTCAGTTGGAAAATGTCCGATAATGAAATATCGAATGACAGATACCGTGATGAATAAATTCTTTAAGCGACAAAAAAGTTTACGTTGTCGTTTCGACGCTCGAACTATTTTGTAATCTATACATATATTACAAAATGGAGTGCCTGTTTGTAAAATCAAAATAAAAATCCCAGTTTTCGGGAAGACGATGTATTTGCGTTGCTAATAATGAAAATTGCATTTAATTTTTTTCCGTCCGCAAGCCGTGTTTGTTCCGGGTAATCTCCGAAACGGCAGTGCCGATTTCGACGGGACTTTCACTGTAGGGTAGCTGACATGGATAGGCATGTTATAGGCTATTTTTTTAATTCCGCGCTGTCAAAATGGCGCAACGGTCCGAATTAGCGCTAACAAAGTTTGCGGGCGATAGCTCGTGGTAGTAGGCTCGTATTAATTTTATATTAATCTGCGTAGTGTCGTATTAATTAACAATGACGTATTTATATTAAAAGTGTACATAATATTTGTAAGAAGTAAGATATACTCGTAAAATCTGTAAAATGAACAAAGCTCACATGTTTCTGTTTCAAGTTAGCGTATAGAACAAGGTTACAATGCAAACGCTGCATGAATAATGAATAGAGCGCATTCGAGCAAAATAATTATGTAATGTAGCTATGCAAATCTGGTATTCGCTTTGTACCTTCAGGTACTAGTCTAATTGGTACAGTGGAATAATTAATACCCCGGGGCCACAATACTAATCTATTATTTGATAGTCGTTTAGGATAGTCGCGGACAAGTACGTAAATGGAATTGAAAACAAAACGCTATCATGTTATATCATCACACACATTTGATTACATTATCGTATAACCGTTTAGTCTCGCTTTGTTTCCCATGAGTTAATATAGAGATGCGCATACTACTCGATTTATTAGTTGTGCGATAGTTTAGTCAAAGGAGTGCGCCCGCTTAAAAAGGAGTTTGCATGGATGGATGGATGTTTGAATATCTGTTAATCGGAGTGTTCTGTGGTGTAACCTTATCACAAATAGTTGTGGGCGTCTAATTATGTAGCGTTTACAAAATTATTTGTAAATTTCGTTTTTCTGCAAACCTCAAAGATTGTATACGAGATTGCTTTGATGCTAAAGATAATCTTGGAAATAGCTCGTGATTTTCCTGCGTAAATAAATTGTAATGTTACGTAAAGATCAAGATAAGGCAACTATTTAACCTCGGTACTCGGAAATGTGCATAATTAAGTACAAAACCGCTTTACCCGAATTCCCGGACCGTTCATAACTGTGTAGAATGTGGATTCAACTGGTTTGTTAATGAAAAATCTATAAACGTAACATCCAACACCTTTATAAATAATAAATGAATGAAATGTAATAATTTTCAATACATAAACACGAACATTTTTACACATGCATGTATCAGTTTTCAGATAAATTTACGGAATATTCTATCACACATTTCTAGTTACCATTCCAAATAAGATCGAGATTACAGGAATCAAAGTGCGACTAAACAATTGTGTGATTGTCTAGTCGAAGATGTGCGAGCAAAGTAACAGGAAAAAGCCTTCCTTTGTCACACTACTAGGATATGAATCAAATTGACACTTTAGTCATCAAATCGGTTCCTCAGTTTACAAATATAAGTTCTACATATAGCTGTATTTAGGAGCCTTAGGTCTACATTTTGATATTAAACAGAATTGTATGTAGATGTATGAACTTACGAAAAGCTTAGAGAGTACTTGTCTACCCCTCTTGGTTGCGGGCGTGATTTTTTTTTTGTTAAAGAGGTATCATAAATCAACTAACATATTTAGTGCGTCATAAATATATTTAGTGTGTAGTGAGTAGGACAAGTTTGTGCGCCGCTAACTAGCGCATTATTTTAGTGTTACGGGTTGCATTCCGACTTTAATGGTGAGTTATGCTTCCTGTTGTACTATATTTTACTTAAAAATAAATTTATACGTATGTTATCATCACTATTAAAATATATAAATGGATAAAGAAGGTATCAAATTGTAAATAATATGTAAATTGGATGTGGATTTGGCGACGGTTAAAATGCTAGGAAAGGAGAATATTCTCTTCCTGCGCGCCCCTTCTGTTTTGTTGGGTACGCGGCAAAAGCGGACGACTATGGGCAGTCCCTTCGCCATTTTGGCGAATTCTAGTAGACACTTTCTTATTTGTTACCTTTTTCTAAAGAAAATCTTTAACGTAAAAGTTGACAGATTATAAAAACATGTAAAAATCACTACAGTTTTATAAAAAATTCTAATTAAAATCCCTTTTTAAAAGCAGATAGCAAAGGAACGAAATGAGTTGAAAAAATCTGTTAAGTTTCGCAAAAGTTTGCCAACTAACATTGGAAATCTGCAAAGATTTCATGAAAAACTGTAAACCATCTTGTAAAATACAGATTAATGAATAACATCGGACAACTTTCGGATTAAAATGTTAATGAAACCTTTAAAAAAATACTCTATCTTTTTAGTTAATCTGAAAACGGTCTGAGTATTTTGATTAAAACTTCGCAATTTTCTGGTTTGCTTATTAAGGTGATATGAAAAGTTTTTTAATATTTAAATAAAGAAAAAAGAAAACCTTCAGACAGTAAATAAGGATGCACATTTCAGGAAGGTCGTGATGATAGTATTAATAGCTCGTTAAAAGTGGTCTATGTGGTCCTTAAAGGCCAGTGTGGGCTAGGACCACCTAACGGAATAAGGGCCTGTATTTTTTGGTCGTCGCGGGGAAATGCACTTACACACTGCACCGTCCCTGTTGCGGGGTCAGCAGAGACAGTTTCGTGTGGGACTCCCGGCCTTATATTTCAGCCGGACTATCCACTCAACCCCGCGGTTTATTAATTAGGGACTGTATAGACTTGGATGTGGTTTTTTACGTGCTCTCTTCATAATGTCTGTTGAGTTTATAACATTTTCCTCGTATTTATATAGTCGTAATTATTATATATCTATGTATTCCACTATTATAAAGTGGAATAGTTTGTATTTTTGTATATATTGCGATAACTCAAAAACTACTGGGTCGATTTTAAAAATTCTTTCATCGTTAGAAAGATAATTTATCTGTGAATAACATAGGCTATATTTTTTTATTTTCAGGGGGACCAAATCGCAAGCAACAGCTAGTTAATTATAAAATTGTTTACCACGCACCAGCCGAGTGCGAAAGTTAAAAGATTTTAAAAAAAATTGCACTAAAGAATATTCACATTTATATTCCCTCAGTGTTTTTATTCAAAATAAAAATGATATTTAAAAAATCGTCAAGCAATTACGCTTCAATTGTATGAAACACTTTTATATGTTATAAATGACAGATATTATTAAGTTTATTAAAGTTAAACTTAAATATAAAATGATTTGTCGTAGTCACATGTGTGAATTGAACTCTCCAAGGACTTGAAAACCACTTCAATTATACGAGTTACATGGAGAGCTGTGCAAAGAAAGGATTCCCGCAATGAGTTAACTCGCTTTTGTTGACTTGCGTTAAATTTAATAATATATCAATTCACTAAGGTATTAAAGAAACCTGAAAATGTTTTGATAATTAAATAACGAATTAGTTATGAGAGTAAAAGCATGTCCCACCAAATTGTAAATTGTCTGATAACAATCCAACCTGTAAAATATGTGATGGAAATATCGGATTTTGTTCCCTTATCTGATAGTGAAGTCATTTTAAGCTATCTAAGCCTATATCCAGTGGTGGGACAGGCCCTAAGTCTTAATTACAATGATAGAGCATAGAAAATGTTGGTGGGTATGAACCTAAACTTAGATGAGAAAGTAATGAGATTGTATGTGATGAAAAAATATGTGGTACAAAGCAATAAGATCATAGAAATGTATGAATTGTGGGAAAGAAAATAAGTAAGAAAGTACCATCCATCCGGGTACCAGGCCTGGCCAGATACCATCCGCTCAATCTCGATGGCTGGCATTCCACAACCGTGCGGTTTTCGCGGAACTTTCTGCCCCACACAGCTGCATTGTGAAACGGTCTGTCCTCGGCGGTATTTTCAAACCAATACGACTTAGGGTCCTTCAAGAAGCGAGCCTGTCCTCGGCGGTATTTTCAAACCAATACGACTTAGGGTCCTTCAAGAAGCGAGCCTATATTTCCTCAAAGGCCGGCAACGCGTCTGTAGTTCCTCTGGTGTTGCGGATGTCTGGGCGTTGTTTACCACCTTGGTGTTCAAGCCGCTCGTTTGCCCCCTTTTATTATAAAAAAAGTGAATTCAGTCTGATAGCATATAGGATCGATTTCAATAATAAGATGTTATAAGATATAACGTTTTAAAGCGGATGTTATGGTTTTATTCAATTTAAACTGGTAATTTTATTGTATGTTAATATTAGAAAAATGATTTTAAATTTCAGTTACAACGCTTTTAATTATAATACTAATAAATTAAGCTTAAACAAAACCTAATAATTGATTCCGACACTAAAACGTTAGACCAGTAATTAAGTGAAGCGGACCGCTATCGGACAGTGTTCACTGAACTCACAATTAACTCGAATAGAACTCGCACGGAACTCGCCTCAATTAATGACCGCTTCATTTGAAAATAGTACCGACTTTTAGAGCTTATTTTTGGTGTATTTGTAACGTTTTTATACAATACAAGTTTATTTGTAACTAGCTGTTGTTAGAAATCATTGTCAGAAAACTTCCCGAAATCTAAATTTTTTCTTTTGATATTACAAACAGACACTCCTATTTTATTATATTTTTAATTTCAAGTTAAATGTTTCGTAAGTTATTAAAGTGAGTTCGTATTTTATGATTCCGTTTAGTTAAAGTTATATCGAAATTTCCGAATGAATTAAAGCAAACAGTCAGCGAGAAGAGACGGTTTCATGTTAAAAAGTGGCAAGTGAGTGCAAACCACTCCAATTACTGGAGTTTTGAAGAAAGTCTGAATGGAAAGAGATACCGTCCAAGAGACAAGAACTTGATAACTTCGTAACATTGTT